CGGGTTTAAAGGGGGGCGGATTTATGGGGTCGAATATAAGGGGGGCGGATTTAGGAGGTCGGGTTTAAGGAGGGTGGATTTAGGAGGTCGGGTTTAAGGGGGGCGGATTTAGGGGTCGGGTTTAAGGGGGGCGGATTTAGGGGGCGGGTTTAAGGGGAAGGGTAACGAACAAACTAAAAAATTTTTACTCATTAGCTTTTTTTTTCCTCCTCCTTCCCCTCCCCACATTCATTTTTGTTTTTAAATCAAATTTACGGATAAAAAAATTTTTTCAGAAGGTTTGTAAAAAGGATAGGAGAGGAGGAGGAAGAGGAAAAGGGGGGAAATTACGATTTTATTAAAAAAAAAATTTATTTATAAATTTTTCGCCTGCTCCTTTTTTTTAAAAAAAAAAAAAAAAAAAAAAAAAAAAACGACTCCCCTTTTTAAAAACCTTTCGTAAGAAAATTTATTTAAAATATATTTTTTTTTCCAAATTAAATTTATTTATTTATTTATTTTAAAAACTAAAATTTTCCGACGTCGTAAAAGGTTGTCAAAAGCAACAACAACCTTTTTCTCCTTTTTTTTCCTTTTTTTCCTTTTTTTTTCATTTTTCCGTTTCCTTTTTCTCTTAGAATCCCATAAATTTTTTACTTTTTTTTCCCCCACCCCCTTTACATTCTAATAGAATGTATGTACACATTTTAATTCATTTCGGATGACGAGTTCATTAACCTTTATAATTAAAAAAAAAATACGAAAAACTATGGCGAGTACTCTAATTTCTTTTTAAATGTAAAAAATTTTAACGAGTTTTTTTTAATAATTTTTATATGTGCATTCCCGTGGATAATTTCAGGGGGTTGAAAATTACGAGATTTTTTTTTCAGGTACTCAAATAAATTTTAAGGTTTCCTTTGCAAACAAAACAATCTTAAAAGAGTAAAATTTTGTGTTGCGCTTTGAGGGCGGAATCACTGAAAAATAAAAAAAAAAAAAAGTTTGGCCGCATCTTTTGAAAATTACAATTTCGTGTTTTGAATAAAGTTTTAACTAACTAAAGGGATGCAAAGGAAAAAGGAAATGAAATGAGGGGAGGCAGGGGAAGGGAGAAGAAGAAGAGAGAACGAACACGTATTTCTCACTTTTTTTAAAAAAAAAAAAAAAATATAACACGCGGGAAAATATTATTAAATCCCCCGATGGAATTAAATGGAGGAAATCCTCATCCCTATCAAACGAACTTTGACCTTTTTAAAACAAATCTTTTTTTCTCTATTAATACGATTAAAACAGAAAAGAAAAAAAGAAGAAAAATAAAAAAACATCCATCGCACGTCCGATCGTTTAATTTTAATAATAATTAAAGTTTTCTTTTTTATTTAAATTTATTAATAATAATAATAATACAATTAATAAATTATTATTATTTATTTTTCAGCACTATGGACATATTTAACAGGTAATAATGATAATAATAATTATTATTATTATTAATTTTATTTAAAAAAAGAAAAAGAAACTTTATAATTTTCATTTTTCCTTATTACGTAAACGAAAAGTTTTTGTTTTCTTTTTTTCTACTAAAAAAATTTTTTAGTCAAAAAAAAAGAAAAGAGATTAGTAATTAAAAGTAAATACTTTAGTAATTAGATAGGTTGATGACCCCCCATTGAAAGGTTTAACATAAAAAAAAATTTTTTTTTTTTTTTTTTTTGTGGAAGGTATTAATCACATATTACGAATAAATGAAAATTTTACTATAATTATTCCGTATTATTTAATAGTTATTAAAGTAAATTATAGACTATAAATATTTATGTAAATATCATCATCATCATCATTATCTTTATAGTATTGGATTTTCTTTTTTTTTTTTCGGTTTTGAAATAATCGTTATTATACTTTTACAGATACTTATTCGCCTACAATCACAATAATTGCCGGAATACAATTAATATTATCAACAATGGGATTCATATTCATGTTGATCATACTTTGGGTTGACATGCATCACGATCCCGATTGGCAAGATCCGTCCGATACAATATATTCTAACAACGTGACAGGAGTTAGCATGACAACGTTGTCACAATCGCAATCACTCACAACTTAACACAAAAAAATTTTTTTTTTTTTTTAATTAAATAAATAAATTATTTATTTTCCAATATATATTCTTTATTTATCGTTCTTTAATTTCATTCGGACCGACAAACGAAACAACCAAAACAAACAACCACAAATTCATCCTTCCCGAAAACAAAAAAAAAAACAAAAAGTAAAATTTCATCTTTTTTTAAAAAATTCGAACTATAAAAAAAACACATTAACCGTATGTTAAACACGGGCGAAGTTATTTTTCTTATAATTCTTATTTTTACTCAAAAAAAGGAAAAACTATTAAAACAGGGATTTAAATTCGATATTTGTCGAACTTTTTAGAAAGAATTATTAATTTTAAATTATACGTTGTTTATTTATTTATTTATTAACGTAAATTATTAAAAATAGTTATTAAGAAATATAATTAATAATAAATAACTATTAAGAAAAAAAAAGAAAATTCAAATAACGAGGTAAAATCGATTTGAATATTGTATCGATCGATCGATCGATTGGCGATTGGTCGTTATCAACCTTCCAGGTTTATTTACTCTATGAAATAAATTTAATGAAAACGTCAATCAATTATAATAATAATAAGGATAATGATAAAGCTCGAAAGGGGAAGTAAAAAAAAAAATCTATTAAAAAAATTTTATTAAAAATTAAAAACTTGTAAACCCCCCGGTCGTTTTCTTGTTCTTTTATCCTTCCTCCCCCCTCTCTCTTTTTTTGTTTTCCCTCCCTTCCTTCCCCCCCCATTTCTTTTAAAGTTAAAATAAAATCTTTTTAAAAGAAGTTTTAGTTTGAAACTTTTTTTTTTTGTAATTTTCTTACTTTCTTTCTTCTTTTTCTTTCTCTGTTTTTTTTCTTGGGGAGGGGGAGGGAGGGAAGATTAGAATAATTTTAAAGTCGATCAAATATTGAAAGATAAAAAAAAAAAAATTTTTTTTTTTATTAAAGTTATTAAAACAAAATTATTTTTATGGTTTCTTGATGAAAAAGTTTTTTTTTTTTTTTTTTTTTTTTTTTGCTAAAAATTAACTTTTTACTTATATTTAATACTTTGCTTAAGCGAAAACTATTTTTTAAATTGTTGAGGTCGTTGAATTTGAATAAAAATCTATAAAAAAAATCAATAAAAGTAAATTTTATTATTATTATTATTACGCATTGTAGTGAATTAAAAAAGAATTCGTCGAAATAAAAATAATAATAATAAAAACGCGGTAAAAAATGTCGCAAATCTGACGTCTATAAATAATTTCCCTCCCAAAAAGAAAAATCAATTTTTATTTTGTTCTGGAAAGTTCAGCAATTTTATTTTTATTATTATTATTATTACAAAAAAAAATGCGATTCTTCTTTTATTCATTTTACGATCTCGTTTCAAAATAAGAAATCATAATGATGATAATAATAATAATAATGATAATATTTATATATAAATAATTGAGAAAAAAAATTTTTTTTTCTTTTGAATTCCAATCCCGTTTTTATTTATCACTGTAATTATTACCGTTATTATTATTATTATTATTATTATTATTATTATTATTATCGATATTTATTACTCGTACGTTAATTTTTGATCGATTTAAAATCATTATTTTTTGTTTTGTTTTTTTTTTTATGCACAAAAAATTTTAGTTTTAAAGTTTAAAAAAAATTTTTTTTTTTTTACATTTCATTCCTTTGATTTATTATTATTATTATTATTATTATTATTATTATTATTATTATTATAATTCGCGTTTATAATTTGCATAAATTATTAAATTAAATGCTAGGAAATCATATTTTAATAATAATAATAATAATAAAAGTAAAAAATCAAGGTTTCATGTATCTGATCTAATGATAATAATAGTATTATAAGAAATATTCAAGTTCAAATATATTTATTGATAACGATACGTTATTATAATTATTATTACTATTTTTTTTATTATTATCAAATTAATAATATTACCTTTTGTTTTTTTTGCATCATGTATTAATATTATTATTATTATTTTTATCATTCGACGTGTATAATTTTATACTAGGCCAAATAAAAAAAAAAAAGGGAAAACAAAATGTTTAATTTTTTTTTTTTTGTTTCAATAATTAAAATCGAAAACTATTAATTATCAATAAAAAAATTTTTCGCACGGAAATTTTTTATTATCATGGAAGAGGGAAAAGATAAAATTTCTGGAGGTCAGTCATGGACAAAAAAAATAAAAATGAAATTAGTTTTTTTTTTTTTTTTTTTGTTAAAGGGCACAACAAAAAAA